GAAAGCATTTTAGAAAGCAACTTCCGTCCCTCCTGCTGGATATTATGGGCACCTTCCTGCCCCTCCTGCTGGAATTATAATGGGCAACCTTCCATGCCCTCCTGCTGGAATATGGGCAACCTTCCTGCCCTGCCTCTGGATATAGAAATGAGCAACAATCCTGCCCCATCTTGTGGATAGATGGGCAGCCTCCTGCCCTCACTGCTGGATATGATGGGCAAGCATTCCTGGCCCTCCTGCTGGAATATGATAGGGCAAACGCTATCCGGGCCTCCTGCTGGATATGATGGACAACCTTCCTGCCCCATGCTGGTTATGAGGCATGCCATTCCTGCCCCTCCTGCGGATATGATGGCATCCTTCCTGCCCCTCCTGCTGGATTGATGGGCAACTTCTGCCCCTCCTGCTGGATCATGATGGGCAGCCTTCTTGCCCTCACAAGCTGATTATGATGGTCAACCTTCCTGCCCCTCCTGCTGGGATATGATGGGCAGACCTTCCTGCCCCTCCTGCTGGATATGATGGGCAAGCCTTCCTGCCCCTCCTGCTGGATAATGATGGAGCAACCTTCCTGCCCCTCCTGCTGGATATGATGGTCAACCTTCCTGCCCCTCCTGCTGGATATGATGGGCAACCTTCCTGCCCCTCCTGCTGGATATTATGGGCAACCTTCCTGCCCCTCCTGCTGATATGATGGACAACCTTCCTGCCCCTCCTGCTGGATATTATGGGCAACCTTCCTGCCCCTCCTGCTGGATATTATGGGCAACCTTCCTGCCCCTCCTGCTGGATATGATGGGCAACCTTCCTGCCCCTCCTGCTGGATATTATGGGCAACCTTCCTGCCCCTCCTGCTGGATATGATTGGCAACCATTCCTGGCCCCTCATGCTGGATATATGGGCAACCTTCCTGGCCCCTCCTGCTGGATATATGGGCAACCTTCCTGCCCCTCCTGCTTGGATATTATGGGCAACCTTCCTGCCCTCCTGCTGGATATGATGGGCAACCTTCCTGCACTCCTGCTGGATATTAATGGGCAATCCTTCTGCCCCTCCTTTGCTGGATATTATGGGCAACACTTCCTGCCCTCCTGCTGGATATGATGGGCAACATTCCTGCCCCTCCTGCTGGATATTATGGGCAACCTTCCTGCCCCTCCTGCTGGATATGATGGGCAACCTTCCTGCCCCTCCTGCTGGATATATGGGCACCTTCCTGCCCCTCCTGCTGGATATGATGGGCAGCCTTCCTGCCCCTCCTGCTGGATATGATGGGCAACCTTCCTGCCCCTCCTGCTGGATATGATGGACAACCTTCCTGCCCCTCCTGCTGGATATGATAGGCAGCCTTCCTGCCCCTCCTGCTGGATATGATGGGGCAACCTTCCTGCCCCTCCTGCTGGATATGGTCAACCTTCCTGCCCCTCCTGCTGGATATGATGGGCAACCTTCGTGCCCCTCCTGCTGGATATGATAGGCAACCTTCTTGCCCCTCCTGCTGCATATGATAGGCAACCTTTCTGCCCCTCCTGCTGGATATGATGGGCAACCTTCCTGCCCCTCCTGCTGGATATGATGGGCAACCTTCCTGCCCTCCTGCTGGATATGATGGCAACCTTCCTGCCCTCCTGCTGAATATGATGGGGCAACCTCCTGCCCCTCCTCTTGGATATGATGGGCAACCTTCCTGCCCCTCCTGCTGGATATGATGGGCAACCTTCCTGCCCCTCCTGCTGGATATGATGGTCAACCTTCCTGCCCCTCCTGCTGGATATGATGGGCAACCTTCCTGCCCCTCCTGCTGGATATGATGGGCAACCTTCCTGCCCCTCCTGCTGGATATGATGGGCAACCTTCCTGCCCCTCCTGCTGGATATGATGGGCAACCTTCCTGCCCCTCCTGCTGGATATGATAGGCAACCTTCCTGCCCCTCCTGCTGGATATGGTCAACCTTCCTGCCCCTCCTGCTGGATATGATGGGCAACCTTCCTGCCCCTCCTGCTGGATATGATGGGCAACCTTCCTGCCCCTCCTGCTGGATATGATAGGCAACCTTCCTGCCCCTCCTGCTGGATATGATGGGCAACCTTCCTGCCCCTCCTGCTGGATATGATGGGCAACCTTCCTGCCCCTCCTGCTGGATATGATGGGCAACCTTCCTGCCCCTCCTGTTGGATATGATGGGCAACCTTCCTGCCCCTCGTGCTGGATATGATGGGCAACCTTCCTGCCCCTCCTGCTGGATATGATGGTCAACCTTCCTGCCCCTCCTGCTGGATATGATGGTCAACCTTCCTGCCCCTCCTGCTGGATATGATGGGCAACCTTCCTGCCCCTCCTGCTGGATATGATGGGCAACCTTCCTGCCCCTCCTGCTGGATATGATAGGCAACCTTCCTGCCCCTTCTGCTGGATATGATAGGCAACCTTCCTGCCCCTCCTGCTGGATATGATGGGCAACCTTCCTGCCCCTCCTGCTGGATATGATAGGCAACCTTCCTGTCCCTTCTGCTGGATATGATAGGCAACCTTCCTGCCCCTCCTGCTGGGTATGATGGGCAACCTTCCTGCCCCTCCTGCTGGATATGATGTTCCTGCTACCTGAAGGATACAACAGGCTCATATTCCCTGTTTTTTCCACTTATATATATATATATATATATTATATATAGTATAGATATTATTAGTATATATATATTATTATATAATATATTATAAGTATAATTTTATATATATATTTATATATATATATACTATATATATATATATAATATAATAGTGTATAGCGTGTGTGCTATCTTTGTGTGCTGGGTAAATAACGTATTTTTCATGAACACGTCTCGGCCCTCTCTGTCATGTCTGTCTTCCATGAGCAGACTTTGTCTGTCTGTGGTGTAAACAGCAGGTTCTTCAAGTCTGATCCTTCTTCCTGGTGGTGGTGTAAATAAAGCTGTAAATTTTCCCCGTAAGAGACGCAACGTTCAAGCTGCCAGACTTTGCTTAAACCTTCAGAGATTTACAACGATTTTCTTTTATTTTTTTTAAGTAAGAGTTTTAAGCGAAGGTTTTTCGGTTTTTCGCTTTTGAGTCTTGGCTCAAGTTATGGTGAGATATTCTTACTGACCTCTCTATCTCCCTCCTTCCTTCTCTTCCTCTCTCCCTCTCCCCCATACCCCTCCTTACTTCTCTCAACCAGCACCGCTTGTGTAGATAGACCATTGTGAAAGACTGATTCCCACATATTAGTGACTCAAGCTCCGCTAGTAGGAATTTTTTACAGACCTCGTAGCTGAGCACAATGCTATTAGATACATCTTCAGTGTGCTGGTAACTTATATGATAGTTACACAATATAAACAAATGCTAAAGCTATGTTTCCATATTCCATCACACAGGAAACGAATCAAACAAGACGTTGAAATCTGCCAGTCTGTGCTGGGAGACTTAGTAGGGCAGTGAGGATATCGCCAAGTATTCCAGCAAGGGTTCATCAGCTACGGCAGCTTCAAAGGTTTCCTTCCAGGAGTGCTGGAGTTAATATCACTTAGGAATTCATGTTGGACGATATCCTTCATCGCCTTATTGAAGTGTCTCAGCTCAGGCTGACACTATTACTTTGTCTAAAAGCTCATTTCGTGTGATGGAATATGACTTAAAAGTATAGCTAGTTCTTGTTCCCATTATGTAACTGTCATATTGAATAGGGTAGCAGCTCTGTGGGTGTTCCCACTATGTAACTATCAAATATAAAGTGGCCACACACTGCAGATACACAGTACTGTTTTTTTAAAGTAATCATTCACCACACTTTTCAAAAATTCCATCTCCCCTTTTCGCCTATTCTTACCAAGTACTTTGACTTTCACGACTGTCTCCTTTCTACACCCCGTGCACTTTTGCCCCCTATTCTCATCTTCTCTTCACATTATTTCACCCCAACCACACACTCTTTTCTCCTCCTGCCTTCTAGTACCTCTTTTTCCCCACCCACCTTCTCTTCTCTCACCATTCCATTCTTTAGCCAACCCATCCTCCTCACAACATTCCCTTAGAATATATTTTCCCCTAGAGAATTCTTCCCTGACCAGCGTTTTTCCCTTACGGTAGGAGTGTTGGCTGTGAACCAACAGTGAGACACCAAAGAAACTTGTATCAACAGTAGATATTTTATTATTAAAAGGCTTTATTTACAATAGACTGCACCACGTACTTGATGAAGCCTTTTTGCAGTGAAATCTTTCAACAATAAAAAGGACTTTTGCAATATGTCTCGTAGCTCTTAAGTCACACCGGACTCATGTGTCACTCTGTCGCTCGGACTGTGGCCACAGTGCCATGAATGGCAGCAGACGAGTCAGTTGAGTTTGAGATGACTCACCATTGTAAATACCTGAACCAAGATACCACTTGAACCGAAGACTTGCCGTTCCCTAGCTACAGGGCGTCTACGACGACTGTAGCTAACGGCTACAACACTTGTGCTGAAGAAGACTCACCGTGCCCTCGCCATGGACTGCCCCGCCATAGGGCTGTAAACGGTACATCACTTGTACAAACTCCGACACTCCTTCGGGATCCACTACCTGATCACCATATAGAGAAGGCCCGAACCAGGACCCGTCCTGACGACCCTACCTGTACTTCCTTCAGCTTCACATTGCTCCAGACTATGGAGCAGAACTCTTCTACTTGCTCAAGGACTGACCACCTCAGAACTGCGTCTTCCAGGGTGATGGACTGATTACATCATCTTCATATCTCTACTACTTCTGTTGCCTCTGTATTCGACTGAAGAAGCCTACTGTGTAGGCGAAACGTTTCGGAATAAAGACACCTAACTGTTGCTCATGTGTCTTGCTCATCAGCTTGTCGGTATTGTATACCATTATATTCACATTATTATTATAATTTTTATTATTATTATTATTATTATTATTATTATTATTTTATTATTGGTTCCTCCAAGCCCAACCAATAAGGCTTACATCCCTCTTACAGAGAACAAGCCTGGTCCTTCAGGCATGGGAGGTCTTGGAGTGATCTCCCAACTGCTGCTCTGCAAGACCTTGCAACCTGACTTTCAACAGGAGGAGATCTGCAGTATAGAGAAGGACAGTGATGACATCCTTGCCATCCTGAAGGAGATGCAGGAGTACATGCCACAGGTCAGAGCCGCTGGAGGAGTGGAGTGAGCTGAGGAATGGGATGCTAGTATTACTAGCATCAATAGTGGTAGTGTAATAGTTGTGGTAGATGTGATAATGGTAGTAGTGGTGGTAGTTTTGGTAATCAGGACCCAGATGAGACTTTTTGATGGCCATATACCACAACTCAACTTCAAAATAGACAATATATATATATATATATATATATATATATATATATATATTATATATATATATATATATATATATATATATATATACATTCTTAACTTTTAATATATTTAACCGTTACATTTATCTTTTTTTTATTTTGAGATTCTTTAAAACGTTTGAAAAACGTTTAATTTTAACTTTATGGGCTTATTCCAGAGATATACCTGAAGTTTCAACTTCCTCACCACACACCTAAACAGCACCATCACCAACAGAAATAGTACAACTATTATCAATGGTGATAGTATACTGCCAGAAGTGCTAGTTGTGAGAATGATGGTAGTGGTAGTAGTCCAATATTAATACACTGATGGTAGCTCCCAATGCGAGTAGAAGTTTAATAGCTGTATCATTACAACAGTGGAAGTGATTTCATACGGCTAACACGGTGGTCGTTGCAAGAAGCAGCAGATGCAGCTTGCAGCAACAACAGCAGCAGTAGGTACAGCAGCAACAACAGGTTCCTCCTACTAATACAGTATTATTGCCTTACAGGAGGAGGCAGGCTCGAGGAACCTGGCACTGACAGGGGAAGATATGTTCAGTATTTGGAGCAAGAAGAGAACTCGACGCTCCCTCTACCGCAACATGAGTTCCTTATGTTGCACATGCAAGCCTGCATACTTGTAATACGCCAAAGTCTAGTTCTTCAGCCACTCCACCACGCCCACGCCCGTTGCCAACACCCTCACCACGCCCACGCCCTTTTACAAAACTTTCCTTCCCCAACTTAATTCCTGACCGTCCTGGTCAGTCGATTCACTAGACAATTCATATACTAGTTAATTGATGCATTAGTCAATTGATGCATTAGTCAGTTGATACAGTCAATTGATGCATTAGTTAATTGATGCATTAGTCAGTTGATGCATTAGTCAATTGACGCATTAGTCAACTGATGCATTAGTCAATTGATGCATTAGTCAATTGATGCATTAGTCAATTGATGCATTAGTCAATTGATGCATTAGTCAATTGATACAGTATTTAACTGATACATTAATCAACTGATGCATTTGTAATTCATACATAAATCAATTGATACATTAGTCCATTGATCAATTGATGCATTAGTCAACTGGTGCACTAGTCAGTTGAGGAGGGTGTCCTGTATCAGATTAAACCAGTGTATGGTTTATAAAAACCTTCTTATTGGCAGCTTAAGGTAACAGCTTAGTCCAAGCGTAAGGTAACATGGGAAGAAATCTCAAGCTTTCCAAACTTTCCGAAACAATATTTTTTGATTCATGGGGAAAGGCTGAACTCATGACGGTCATGTAGTGCCTGGGGAATGGGAGGCAGTCAGGTTTGATTCGAGGAAGGGGAGGGTAGCTCCACTTCCTTAGATCAAGAGCCTTTCGTCAGCATCAAGGCATTCCGATCGTCCTTGAAAGAGTTAAACAATCTCGCCCTCACCAAACAAGGTCAAATTACCCAAGGCATCCCACTCTCTACCCTACTCAAGGCATCACACTTTCTACCCTACTCGAGGCATCCCACTCTCTATCCTAAGCAAGGCATCCCACTCTCTATCCTACCCAAGGCATCCCACTCTCTATCCTACTCAAGGCATCCCACTCTCTATCCTACTCAAGGCATCCCACTCTCTACCCTACTCAAGGCATCCCACTCTCTACCCTACTCAAGGCATCCCACTCTCTACCCTACTCAAGGCATCCCACTCTCTACCATACTCAAGGCATCCCACTCTCTACCCTACTCAAGGCATCCCACTCTCTACCATACTCAAGGCATCCCACTCTCTACCCTACTCAACTTTCTACTTACAGAATTTTTGATAATTCTCATCTGTATCAACATATTGTGATTTGCATATTCACTTTTTTTTACACAGGATCTTGACTGTCACACCTTATCCATTACTTTACAGAGTAACTCTAAACTTGTTCCCTATTAGATACCTGAACTTTAACTAGATACAGAATTATGACCTTTTCCACACCTCTATAAAGCTCCCTAACTTTTTCCACTATTAAATCTCCATCAGCATCTTCAACTCCCCTTCCCATCCATGTCTTCAGAATCCTGTCAAATTGTTGTCCACTTTATAACACCTTAGACCTCTGTGACTATCCTCTTATTCCTCTCCAAACTCTTTCAAACGTACCTCTAAATTTTCAATAGTTCCTTCAGCCTCATCCAAACCACCTCACTTTTTCCCTGTTATCTCAAAATATGCGCCACATACTCCACATTCGCAAATTTTCTCAAATGGTTTCCTGAGTACCAAACATACATTATAACTTTCTCCAGAGGATCTTAGGTTACCTACGAACAAAGCCCATCACCTTCCTGAATTTCCAACTCACCCTGATAGCCTCATTTCCCAGCGACACCTCATCCTTTATTAATATGCCACAACATCTTTCCCTCCTTTCTTCCAAACCGATCCAACGAATTAACTTCTCCCTATGAAGAATTTTAGGTTCCGCAGACATCTTCCTATAAGCCTAGACTACCTATATCAGACTTTCCCAGACCACTTAGACATATAATCTTACCTCTCTTACCAGACAGTTAAAATTTTTACCAGACATCCTAAAAAGTGTTTCAGACACCTTATTAGATACTGAGACGTGAACAACTTTAGAGACTGTTGGGACGTATAACCAGAGACAATACTGTTTAAGTCATCTAAAGTCAAATTATTAATCTCGTACAACTTAGAAGTTCCCAAAGAGCAAT